AGAGACCTATTTTTCTAATTTGATAAATTTGAAAAAATAAAAAATGTTTTACCCTCATCTGATCTGCAGAGGTGACCCAGAGTCTTGCCCCAGACTGGCCCGGTCAGACACAGCCTTGTTAGAAGAGGTAGCTCTCTTCAGCTTTAACTTCAGTTTTGAGGTCTTCAGGAGCAGTTTGGCTGGACCTTTGTCTTTCTGCTGCTCTGCGTCTCCGGTCATGCACATCCACTGTCATGTTCTCTGACAGAGCATCCTTAAAAGAAAAGAGTTTCAGAATATATTGAACAATAATATTCATAACAAAATATAGTATCTTATAAACGGCATAAAACAGGAAGCTGAAACACAGTGATTTTGAATAGATTCATAATTGGGTTTAAAAACAAATACCAAGGAACAAATGGTTGCACGTGTTTGTACGTTTGTGTGTTGTCGACGATGACTTCACACACGATGCAAGATATTTCTGTCTCTACAGGAAAATTATTAACACAATCACAGTTTAATGAGTCCATTCTAACAGCAATTAAGTTTCTATTGTGATGGAGGCTCTGAAAGAATGTAATTATAGTGTTTTTTTAGCATGTTTCTTAATTATAAATGCTTATCGTCCAGAGCCTCGTGTTCTCTCCATGTTTTTAATATCACCTAATGTTAGAACGTCACTTACAAAAGACACCGGGAAGACTACAAGACAAAGTGTTTATTCGCAAATCACAAGAGTTGCAATTTTTAATCTGACATTATTAACCTTGTAAACATCAAATGATCAAATGATTGAAAGTTGGCAGGTTTCATATTACAAGGAACACGTTATTATTATCATTTTTTTTCAAAGTTATTCAGTGGTCAAATGAAGTGGTACCATTTTGAGATTACATTTTAAGGTTAAGATACATATTTATTTACCCCCATTGGGCAATTTTCAGGACTTCTGAATTTTACCTATTGTATTGTTAGTGGGAGAGATATCCTACACAGACGCAAGGAGAACATGCAAACTCCACTCAGAAACCCAGGACCTCCTTACAGAGAAATGGTCTAATAATGTATTTTTCAAACATCTAAACACTTAAAGAAGGATTTTCCCAGATTTTAGAAAAGAACTGCCCTCTCCACTTTTTGGGAGAACCAATAGTCTTGATGATCCCCCTGGAAGTAGAAAATCCTGTATACCTTTTATATGTTTATAATTTTAGCTTGTACCATTAAAGTTAAGATATTAGTGATTGTTCCTGGAGAGAAATTTGTCAATCAACTGTTTGTTTCTCTGATCTGTTGTTGGAGAATCAATAACTTTGTAATGTCCTGCTTTTTTTTATTTAGGTTTTTAGAGTTGAAAGTAAAAAACACAACGTTTATCTAAAATATCGATTCTATATTTCTTCAAAATAGTCATCCCTTCTGGTCATATAAACTCTATTATAATAACAGATTTGGAAACATATTTTGAACAGATTTTCAGTAGCTTCAGTCGCACAACAACTTGTCTATGTTCTATCTATATCACTCTCTCTGTGGAAGATTCACAACTCACTATTTTGATTCAGAGCAAAATACTCCGCCATCCATCCATCATTTTGTAGTGCAGACGGCTGAAATATCTCCTTGTCCTTCCAGCCTGCTTTCTTTCATTGACGCTTGTGGCAATGATTTTGATATAAGTGGCATAAAAATATCTCCTAAAGCTGCTGGATTTCACTTGACTTAACCTGGAGTCTCGTAAAAAGGTCCATTGGAAGAAGAGGAAGCAGGGTTTTTTATTGTTTATTGAACGTGGATGCAGCCCTTGATGGGAGAACAGTGCAATAACATAAAAGGTCTGTTGCATAACTTTTCACTTGTACCGCAGCCTACAGTTTCTCATATTTGGTCATAAACTCGTATCAGCTGATCTGCTCTTATCTTCTCCTCGCGCTGCACGGAAACACGCCGTTATTGTGTTCCAGTTTTGTGTTTACATCCACATTTGTGCCAGTAAATAATACACAGTGCTTATATAAAGTGACAAAGCCTTTTCTTTTCAACATGCAGAGATTTACAAATCCAATTAGAAAGATGTAGACAATAAATGCAGGTCCTTTTATAGGTATGTAGTTTGATGCTAATTGTCCCAGACTGGGTTTACAACTAAATGTATTGAACAATCTGTCACTGTACTGTAAAGCTTTGGTTTGTTTAATCTTTACATGAAGCCAGAGGATTTTCTTCATTAAAAGTCTAAAAAGTATATTCATTAGAGGGAAAATTAATGTTGTACTATATAGATTAGTTGCACATTGAGTGAAATATTTCAACCCTGTTTTGCCATCTCAGATAAATATGTTTTGCATTGTACCTTAATAGAGAGAGAGAGACAGAGAGAGCAAGAGAGGGAGAGAGAAAGACACACAGAGAGAGATAAAGATTGATATATTGTTATAACCAACTTTATTTGTTCCTATAATCTTTACCTGCATGTTCTTATCTATCAAACACCAAGTTCTGGGTAGATTCAAGAAATTAAAGTTATTAATGTATTATTTTTTTTCTTTTAACAATCTGACATTAGGTTCTTGATTTTAGGAACCTGGATTTCCATTGGCATTTTGCTCCACTTGTCTTCCACTTTATCTGGCGCTGGAGTCTCCTTCCCTCTCCTCTACAAATATGATACTAGTAAAATAAAGTGCTTTGTATGATTGAAATGTTAGTTCAGCTATAAGCAGAACAACAATTGCAATCTTTTGTTTTCTCTTTGCCATAATCTACTGCCTGAGGGACCATCTGTGCATTTTGTTCTTTATGAATCAACCTCAGAATCCCTAACGCTTAGTCTAAGTAAGTTATTAATGTATTTTTTTTCTTTTAACAATCTGACATTAGGTTCTTGATTTTAGGAAAGCAGCATGTGTTAGCCGACTAAGGTTATCTTAATCAGCTATCTTAATCATATATGTGGATTTAAAAACTGCATTTTGTTACAGACTTGTATGATTGGGGAAGATTGTTTGGTTTACATAGCCACTAGAGAATGAGATAAAACATAAACGTCTGAGGTGGTCGCAGTGTGCCATTCACATAAACATTCTGCTAATAGAAACATGAGTGTGTTATGGACTGGAACAGGGGATAAACAGAAGCAGAGCATTCCTTATTGCTACTCCAGATGAAGTGGCTTGAATTGATAAGGGAGGCTAAGGTTATGCTAACAGCTGTTTTGTTTAGCAGCGTAAACTATCATGCTACTTTATAACACCTTTTGAAACAAATGAGAAGACAGCCATGTGTTGTATAGAATTGGAAGTTTTATACATGATGGAATTGAGTAGACAGACGGGACTTTTGTTTAGAATTAGCTTTAGCCTGGAGCTGGGAGTGCAGTGTTTTATGTAATAAGATAAAAGGCCTACAACACTGTTTATGAGATTATGAGAGCTGCATATGTAATAGTTTTACAATTTATTCGAAATTGAACCCTTTAGCCATTTGGCCACATGTGAAAGCACTGTTTTTTTAACCCCTTCATTCCGGATGAATTGGCTTGAATTGACAAGTAAAGCTAACCTTATGCTAACGTAATGCTAACGTAATGCTAACGTAATGCTAGCAGATGTTTTGTTTAGCAGTGAGGAAACAATGCTGTTAATGCTAAATCAACATTAAAATAGATAAGAAATAGATGTATTATGGAATTGGAAGTTTTATACACATTTTAAACATTTATAAGTTTTATACAAGATAGATTTAAGTAGTCAGACGGGACTAGTTTACAATTAACTAGATTTAGCCTGTAGCATAAAATAAAAATCCCACAGCACTGTTTATTAGAGCTGCATATGTGATAGTTGTACAAATCTCTCCACATTGAACCCTGTAGGCATTTGGACGCATGTGAAAGCACGTTGTTGTTTTAACCCTGTACCCTCCTGCCCCGTGCTGTTGGTATTCATGGGAGTAGCCAGTTGCCATGGAGACCCGGGAATAAGGAAATGCAAATGTCAGCGGTCCTGAGTGCAGCGGTTTGTTCTGAGAGTCTCCGACGCTTTGGTCCAGATTAAGATTCAAACTAAATTCACGGCTGCAGATTGGAGATATGAGCAGAGTGAAAATCTCTGTGTGAAGTGTAAGAACTGTCCATGTCGCAGCAGAGACGGAAGGCCTGGAAGAAGCTCCATTTTCAAGTTTCAAACACATTTTAGATTCTAAACCAACATAAAATTATTGCAGAGACTCTGACATAAGATATAAACATAGTTGTGTCTGGATTAAGGCTGGGGAAATTAATTTAGATATATTATTACTAAAAAAAAATTCCAACCCTTAATATTCAAATATTACACTGGCATGGGCTTTAATGCTAACAGGGTTATGTTATGTTTTTGTGTAAAGTTCTTCTCCACGCAGCTCTGTAGCGTCTCTGTCCTGAGACCTTCACTTCAGATAACAGCAGTACAGTATGTGTTCACGAGGCTGTGCCCTGCTGCGGCCTGGGCTTATTTTATTATAAACCAGTACTTCTGCACTGGCGAACACGTTAGCAGCACTTGTTTACACTCCAGCCTGAGTTATCATTCTCAGGCTGGAGGCATATGTTCACAAGCAGTGTGTTTAACCCTGGTTTAGTCCAGGTTTAGTCCTGGTTTTGCTCCTCTTTTGACTGTTTGAGTGTTTTCGTCTGAGCATTTATTGGTCAAAATAAACAATTAATTCAAATTGTAACATTAATAAAACAATGAAATATGGTTTTTGAGCTTTTGCCCCTGCCCAAAAAAACTGCTCTTTTACACTATACTGTACATTGCACAAGAAGCAGAGAGTTGGGCTCTCAATTCAATTCAATTGATTTTTTATGGCCATAAATCACAACAGCGGTCAACAGAGGACTTAACAAAGTTATTGATTCCTCAGCAAAAGATCAGAGAATCAAACGGTCAAATCTAGTCATATTTTACATCGGACAATTAATTGAATGTGTAGCAAACATGAATATGATAGTTGTTTCCATGGACGCCAATACCATGACTTTTACCACAGAAACCGTCGCCAGGGCAGCCATTACAGTGGTAACATATCTAATGATAATGTATTGTACACAGGTCAGTATCGGAAAATAAGTGCCAACAGGGCTTCCGCCCTAAGGTACTTATTTTCCGATAATGACCTGTGTATTATTGTACATTATCCCGCTTATTATACGGCTTTGTACCAACAGAACACACAAAATAAACTTCAGTCCACTCTTAGGAATGCCAAAAGGTTTATTTAATGATAGAAAATAAAGCAGTTCCCAAAGGCTTTCCTGTGGCTATGCGAGTAACAGTTAGGCTGGCAACTTCCAAACTAGAACTCTCTCGAACTGCATGAAAACTGAACAAAGAATTCTGAACATCAGCGGTGAGTGACCCATACATAAACCTAACCTAAATCCATAATTCGATCCTCTGCAAATGTTCCTATAATGTCCCGGAATATAACCCTTCCGTGTTTTTTACGATCGCTTTTTCTCGCATTAAACTAGTATTTTTGTCATGAAAATGTAAAAAAAAAAAAAAAAATGCAAATCTCCCTGCACGTGTGTTAAGAATGTAGGCCTGGGTGGAGGGTTGGGGATGGGAGGGGGCATGGGGGGGATGGGGGGTCTGGGAGGCGCTGGCTTCATGTATATGTATAATGTATTCTCCGAATAACATTTAATTGTGTTGATTGATTGGTATTTGCGTTTATTGTGCGTGGCTAGCTGCGGAGTGGCCAGAACTATATGCGGAGCAATCTACACACATGAATTACAAGCAGAGAGTGCGTTGCCATGGGCAGTGGTCATTATTGTTTTGAGAGGTCCGTTATAAGAAATAATGACCGGTAGAACGTTTTGAAATTACATTTAAATCAATGGAGCATTCTCCTGCTGCTGCGAGGAGCCGTGTAATAAACCAATGTGATGTTGTCATACTCTGTCTCTGCTCCATCTGAACCGCTGTGGTATTTGTGGAGCCTTTTTTTTAATGAAAAACACCAGTTTCAACATCACACAAACATTTTCTATTTATTATTAAACTCAATCAATTTTATTTCCTAATTAATGATAATGACCAGGTGTAAATTCCTTACTTTCTAGAACAGACCTGGGCAAATTGCAGGAACATACGGCTTGACTTATTCTCAAGAAATTAATTACTTACTACTACTACTTACTACTAATTATTCATTTGATAAATGTTTTGTTCAATCCAATCAAAACTCATGTTGTTCAAAAATCTATAATCAATACTAGTGTGGTATTGAGGATATAGAAATAATTCTTAATAATAAATAATAGGAGCACGTTTGTCCAATTGCTCTTTTTGCCTTCACATCAGTCATGTACATTAATGAGATCCAGGGAATAGTTTCAAACCCAGTCAAATGTCAAATCCCCACTAGGTTCTGCTGCTACAGACAGATCTGACTTTAACACAGCCGCTCTCTCATCCCGCTCTCTCCTGTCTCTTCATAACTCATGATCTCAAACCCAGCAGCTCTTTTATGTCTAATCTATCATCTCTCTTCTCTTTAGGAGCATTTCACGCCCGAGTGTAAGTTCAAGGAGTCGGTTTTTGAGAACTACTACGTGACCTACTCATCGATGATGTACCGGCAGCAGGCCTCTGGACGGGCCTGGTACCTGGGCCTCAACAAAGAGGGACAGATCATGAAGGGGAACCACGTGAAGAAGAACAAGGCTGCAGCACATTTCATCCCCAAACCACTCAAAGGTATCTACTTTTATTACATGAGACAGACTAGATAGATAGGTAGATAGATAGATACTGTAGATAGATAAGTAATACCAATACTTAGGTAATACAGTAAAACAGCAGGGAAGGCCACAGCAGCAGTAGTGGAGTAGCCGCTTGGTTTGGACCATTTCTTATGCTTTATTAGAAAACTAACCAACTATTTTTGGCCCTGCATTACAATACAATACAATTTATTCTTGTAAAGCCCTAAATCACAACAGAAGTCATCTCAGAGGACTTAACAAAACCATTGAAATCACCAACACAGATCAGAGAATCAACAGTTAAAACACAAAAAATTGGTCCATAGGCATTTAAATGGATAATGAGATATGTTTTAGGATGTCATAATAACGTTAGTTGAAATATTTGATGAAACAAGTAAGAAGGGTAAAAAATACCAATCTCTTTCCCTCTTCTAAAACCAGAACGACTATTTGAATTTGGGTTTTTGTTTGTTTTTTAATGGATATGGAATAATACAATTCTCGGGCAATACAGGTGCTGGTCATATTATTAGAATATCATGAAAAAGTTGATTTATTTCAATAATTATATTCAGAATATGAAACTTTACATATTATATCAATTCATTAGACACAGTGTGACATATTTCAAATGTGTATTTATTTTATTTGGATGTTTAGTACTGACAATTACTGAAAATCCAAAATTCAGTATCTCAGAAAATTAGAATATTAAGACTAAAACAAAAAAATATTTATCAAAAATGTGGGCCAACTGAAAAGTAGCACCACGGAAAGTTTCAGCATGTACGGCAATCAATACTTAGTTGCAGCTACTTTTGCCTGAATTGCTGCAGCAATACGGCGTGGCATGAAGTCGACCAGTCTGTTGCACTCCTCAGGTGTTATGAGAGCCCAGGTTGCTTTAATAGTGGCCTTCAGCTCGTCAGCATTGTTGGGTCTGGCATCTCACATCTTCCGCTTCCCAATACCCCATAGGTTTTCTATGGGGTTAAGGTCAGGTGAGTTTGCAGGCCAATCAAGAACAGGGATACTATGGTCCTTAAACCAGGTACTGGTAGATTTGGCACTGTGTGCAGGTGCCGAGTCATGTTGGAAAATGAAATCTTCACCTCCATAAAGTTGGTCAGCGGCAGGAAGCATAAAGTGCTCTAAAACTCTAGACTGCTGCATTGACCCTGGACCTCAGGAAACACAGTGGACCAACACCAGTAGATGACATGGCACCCCAGACCATGACTGACTGTGGAAATTTTACACTGGACTTCAGGCAACGTGGATTCTGTGCCTCTTCTGTCTTCCTCCATACTCTGGGACCTTGATTTCCAAAGGAGATGAGTGTGTTCACAGTTAAGTGTCAATTGAAGTATCTCGACTTTAAAAGGTTATAACTTAAAAACTAAAATTACTATCATAGATTGGAAAAAAGATTTCAAACACAAACACATCAAAGAGATAGTGTGGAAAAAATCAAAAGGAAAGATTGTCAAATATATTTTTGGTGACATTTTAAACGACAAAATCAGCCTCTTTTTTGACCATTCTACTGTGACGCCAGTTACATAGAAAATAAAATTTCCTCAGTCTGAAAAAGCGGCAGATGAAATCCCATAATATTTACATGGTTAACACAACATCAGGAAATCACTTGATATGAAAAGGAATCGTTAAAAAATAAAAAATAATTCATTAATTAAATGACCCTTGAAAAATGTATAACGGACGTGATGGTTTCCGTCCTCTTTTCTCTAAAATTTTAACTTGAGAAAGAAACAAATCTTGTCTGGTTTCACATTTAATTGGTTGACTAAATCAAAGTATAACTTTGTTTCTACTCTGTGTAAAAAAAAATAGAATCTCTGAATCAAATGTGGACATCTGTAAATACCTAGCAAAGCTCATTCCGTCAAATCATCACGTCCGTTAGATAAAATAAACAGGGCCGCTATAGGAAACTTGTCTAATGTATAAAACAGTTATGTTCTAGCAACTTCTAATGGACAGAGGAGGTGCTTGGAAACACGAAAAACATAAAATATCTTCTGATTATTAAAATCTAATTTTTGGCCTTTTGTCACACTTTTGTGCCCTTTAGTGTGAACAAGCCCAGATACAAAATTTACTTTCATCTGAAAACATAACTTTGGACCACTCAGCAGCAGTCCAGTCCTTCTTGTCTTGAGCCCAGGCGAGACGCTTTTGACGCTGTCTCTTATTCAAGAGTGGCTTTACCTGTGGAATGCGACAGCTGAAGCCCATATCTTTGATACGTCGGTGGCGTGGTGGTTCTTGAAGCACTGACTCCAGCTGCAGTCCATTCTTTGTGGATCTCCCCCACATCCTTGAATGGGTTTTTCTTGACAATTCTCTCCAGGGCGCGGTTATCCCTTTTGCTTGTAGACTTTTTTTTACCACCATCTTTTTCTTCCCTTTGCCTCTCTATTAATGCGCTTGGACACAGAGCTCTGTGAACATCCAGCCTCTTTGGCAATGACCTTTTGTGTCTTGCCCTCCTTCTTTAACATGTCAATGGTCATCTTTTGGACAGTTGTCAAGTCAGCAGTGTTCCCCATGATTGTGTGTCATACAGAATCAAAACGAAAGACCATTTAAAGGCTTTTCCAGGTGTTTTGAGTTAATTAGCTAATTAGAGTGTGGCACCAGGTGTCTTCAATATCTGACCTTTTCACCATATTCTAATTTTCTGAGATATTGAATTTAGTGTTTTCATTGGTTGTCAGCTATATTGTCTTCTTTTGGGCAAAATAACAATTTAAATATATTAGTCTGTTTGGAATTAATATATACATTCTACAAGTTTGACTTTCTAAATGGAATTAATGAAATAAATCAACTTTTTCATGATATTCTAATAATATGACCAGCACCTGTACTTGTATTTAAAAAGGTAGAAAACAATAACATTGCACTACTACAGAACTAAAACAGGAACTTTTAGAGCAGAAGGGGCGGAGTTACAGGTCTGTTTACGTTGGTGAAATTGCATCAAATTTGCGTGATACATTTTTTTATAGTCCCAACAGAAATAATCTTGTTTCAGTAACTTTTGTGAATAAATCCATGCTCAATTTGCTGTTTTTATAGTAATATAAAACATGATCTGATTGGCTGAGAGAGGGATGGACCTGGATTTCCATTGGCATTTTGCTCCACTTGTCTTCCACTTTATCTGGGGCTGGAGTCTCCTTCCCTCTCCTCTACAAATATGATACTAGTAAAATAAAGTGCTTTGTATGATTGAAATGTTAGTTCAGCTATAAGCAGAACAACAATTGCAATCTTTTGTTTTCTCTTTGCCATAATCTACTGCCCGAGGGACCATCTGTGCATTTTGTTCTTTATGAATCAACCTCAGAATCCTTAACGCTTAATCTCTTTATTAAACTTCAACACTTTTAAAACCTCAAAGGAGTTATGATTTGGCAATAAATGTTCTTTAGGATTAGGGTAAGGCTTTTATTCTTTTTTTCCTTTTTGTTTTGCGGACACAGATTTTATGACGCTTTATTTGCTTCGTAACACATGAGAATATTTACTTGAGCATTTCGTGTTCAATCCATTACTTGGAAACAAAAAGAACATGGCACCACTGCAAACTTACCAAGACACGGACGTCCTACTAAACTAACAAAGCTGAACAAAGAGAGCACTGATCAGAAATGCAGCTTTATGCCTCAGGAGGCCTCTGTAACTGCGCTGGGGCAATCTGTACATAGGTCACACTATAAATCAGGCCGTTTTTGACAAGTTCAGGAGTGAGGGTGACGCACGGGTAGTATTTGTCATAGATGCATAATGAAGATGTAAGAATGGTTTGAATTAATTGATTAAATGAACCGGTTTAATCTCCATTCTGCTTTTCTTTCTCTAAAGCCTTTACTTTTGAGTGAGTGAACGGAACGAGAAAAGCTCTTAAAAGTCAAGTACCGCTGCTGGGTTTTTACGCAGTTCCCTGTACTGAGGTTTGCCCCCGGCTTTTGCAGATGCTATGGAAAGGTAACTCCAGGACATTAGGTTACACAGGGAAAGTCCATAGTAAAGGTGCAAGCAAAATGTTCCTCCTAGATTGTCTATTGTTATTCTAGAGCGGGCGGTCTTCAATATTTTAGTGAGTTGTGGTCTTCTCTCCACACGGGGTCACCGCGAGCTCAGCCTCCCGCGGTGTAGTGATTCATTTATTGATTTCACATATATGCAAGTCTATCCCCACTCACACCAATCATATCAGGCTGAGTAGCATTTTAAACAGGCCGTGATAAAACCTCTGAGGTCATGTTAGCGGAAAAAAAGTTTAGTTGCAGTTCAAGGTTTTTTCCAACACAGTAGATGTTCTTTAAGATTAAAATGAAGAGATCCTTTATTTGCCCCACAGCGGAGAAATGTCAGTGTTGCATTAACAGTTACATAACAGTAGCAATGAGGAGCACACAACACAAGATGAATGAATAATAACTCATACTAAATAAAATAAAATAACAAATTCTAACTCTAGCCTGAAGAAGAAACAAGTATGAAATCTATATCTTTAGCATAATGAGTACAGAAAACTCAGACTTTAGCTTAAAGGGTTCATATTACGCTTTTTGACTTTTCTCTGCTTTAAACATGATTACAGTGATATTTGGCCTCATACACATGCCCAGAGTAGTTTTTTCATTGATTCTGTCGATCTTTAGTTAGAGAGCAATCTGTCTCCTTCACCCTCGAGAGGCACAGGAACGCCCGGGTCTACTTCTGTGACGATAACTACTGACTCAAGATTCAAGATTAATTTATCATGTCCCGTAGGAAATTTGTTTTGGACTCACAGGCTGCTACATTGAAAATACACATAAGACAGACATAAAACACAACACAGTAACACCGACATGAACCATCACCGCTCTGCTCCATGGCCTGCATTCAGGAGGTTCACAGATATGGGTAGGATTGAGTTCTTATACCGGTTTAGATATCATTTCTTATTTC